GAATTATTTGGAGAAAAATCAATCTATTTATGGAATTCGTATCAAATTAGGAGGAGAACAAGCAAAAATTTATTTTGTGATTTGAAAAGAGAGAAAATTAGATATTATTTCTTTCAACCTCATTATTCTTCTAATTTCTTTCTTCTTTTATTTTGTCTTGAGTTTTTTGTATCTTTAATTAAAGTTTTTTTTCTTATTTATCTTTAATTAAAGTTTATATATATTTTCTTAAAAAAGAATTTTAAAAGATGATCATATTTAGTTCCTTTCCTCATCAATGCTATTAATCTCATAATTAGTGTTATTTATATTATTTTCTTAATTACAATTTTTTCTTTCATTTAATTATTTATTTGAAGAAATTAGTTATTATAACTTTATAAGAATTACACATGTATTTTTACATAATTCATTTGTTATTTTTAAAATTTTTGGATCATTCTTCATCTTAAAGTTTCTATCTATATGTAATAATAAAGCTAAAATAGAAAATGTGGGGTGACACCTTCTTAGCAATAGATACTTATTTATTCTGATCAATGTTTCTGACATTTTTTGTTATTTTTTCCTTAAAATAATTGTTGCCTCGATTTTTAGTTTTAGTTAAAAAAATTTAGCATTTTCTAATTTTAAAAGACTGAAAAATTTATATTGAAAATTTACAAAATATAAAAAATGATTTATTTAACTCCTATCATCATCAATATTATTATTAATTTGTTTTACTTCTTTTCTTAATCTTCATTTCATCATTAAATGTAATTTATATCATTTTCATAATATATATATATATATATTTCTTAGAAGTTAGGATTACTATTTATCTAATTTTTGAATTCCTTTATCATACTAAATACAACATGTTTTATTATAATTACATTCAATATATTAATCAATATGTTGTACGAATGAAAAGAAATTATCATTTCACAAAAATAAAGGTAAATTATAATTTATTATGATTAAGGAAAGATAAAAATATTATTCCAATATCCATAACCATATTTAATACATTAAAAATTAATTGAAAAGTTGTAAATGGAAAAGGAATCACCATTTAAGGAATCATTATTTTTAAATTTTTGGATCATTTCTTCTTCTAAAAGTTTCTGTCCATATGTAACAATAAAGTTAAAATAGAAAATGTAGTGACACCCTTCTTAGTAATAGATACTTATTTATTCTGACAATTTTGGTTACATTTTTATTTAAAATAATTATTGCCTCGATTTTTATTTTTATTTTTAACATTTATTTTTAATTTTAAAAGATTGGAAATTTTATGTTAAAAATTTAAATAATAGAAAAAATGACTTATTTAACTTTTATCATCATCAATACTACTAATTTATTTTACTTTTTCCTTAATCTTCATCTCATCATTAATGTTATTTATATAATTTTCTTAAATCACTTGTTTTTTTCTTTTTTAACTCTTTTATATAAATAAAGTTGGATATGTAAATGATGATGTGACATTTCTTAGAAGCTAAAATTACTATTTATCTAATTTCTCAAATTTTTGAGTTCTTTTGTCATACTAAATACAATATGTTTTATTATAATTACATTCAATATAGTAAACAATATGTTCTAGGAATTAAAATAAAATTATCATTTCAGAAAAACAAATGTTAAATTATAATTTTATTATGATTAAGAAAAGATAAAGATATTATTTCAATATCCCATAACCACATTCAATACATTAGAAATTAATTGGATATAACTGTAAATGGAAAATGAATCACCATTTAAGGAAAATAAATGTTTGCATGCAATACCATAATAATTAAGGAGAGAGTAAGATATTATTTTAATATCCTAATTCGAAACTTTTAATCTACTACTCAATTAAAAAGAAAATGCATTTAATAATATGAAAAAGTTATTCTACTAATTCAATTCAATCAAACTTAATTTTAAAGATAAAATAACAGCTCCATTTTAATTGTTATCAATATATTTCAAAAAATTATCGTGAAAAAGCTTTTCTTGCACCTTATTTTTATTTTCATGTACTATTATTATTTTTTCTGTCATTTTTCAATGAATTTTCATTTCGATTTAAAATTTAATGTTTATTCTTAAAACTCTGATGGTACAAATTAAGATGGAGTAGAATATAATAAATGATGATTCTTCTACTCAATAAGAAGATATAATGAAATTCAAAGGGTGAAGTTTTTTTATTTTTAAAATGGATAGGAAATTCTATTAAGGTATTATTACGTCATTATTCAATATATTTTTTAATATAAATTTCATTTGTTGATGCATTTGTTTAGTATTACAGTGTTATTTCACATTATGAGATGTTTCTTAGACATTTGAGGAGAATGGTACACCGGAATATATATTATATATTAAAGGATCAAATTCATGCAATGGAAGAATTTGTTATTAGCAAATATATTTTAACTTATTTGATAAAAAATATATTCTTCCTCATTTAATAGGTGTAAAATTTGGCAAGCTTTATTTTTTTCACAATCTTCATATTATTAAAACAAATAATAATATTACGATTAAACAACAGAGTAAATATAAAATGAATCAAAAATATTTAATTTTTAATGATTGCGCGAAGCGCGGCCAAATTCTCTAGTAGAGGAATAAATAAATAATTAATGATATTCATTTGAGCAGAAGATAAGGAGAGGTCAATCATAATAATTAACAAGGACTTTTGGCTACAAAGGTCTATTTTGTGATAGATGTGTATGGAAATTTCATGTTTAAATTATGATATTTTGTCATATTATTGGTCCTTGGGAATGACATTGTTAATATCAATTAATGCCACATAAATTGGGACATGGGAAATAACATATATTCTTTAAAAATTAAGTTCAAAATGTACTATAAAATACAATAATTAACAACTTAATATAGTAAAGAGACATATAAAAAATAGTTAATATTTGAAATTTTGCTTGTGCCACATAAATTAGAACAAAGAGAGTAATAAATATTATTTTCAAAATTCTGTAAAAAAAGGTACTACAAATCACAATAGCTAACAATTTAAAATATTTTTACAATCATATAAAAATTTCAATAACTTCTCAAATTTCATAATATATGACATAAGAAGAGGGAATAACCAATATATTTATAAAAATAAATGACATATAAAATGAAATGGAGAGAGTATTAGTTTTTGAAAATGGAAAAGGACAAAACACATATAAAATTAAAAGACATATAAAAAAAGGTTGGTTTAACTCTCAAACATAAAAAGTAACATATGTTATTAAAAACTTTAATAAAAAGTACTATAATTTACAATAAATAATAACTTAAAATATCTACAAGAGAACAAAAAAAAGACTAATTTTTGTACTGCTTGTGTCACATATATTAGGATTGGGATGATTTTAAAATTTTAATTTTGGTTATACATTATAAAATAGCCGAAAAATTGAATGATATAATTTTTTTTAAAATAACCAAATGAATCGTCCTATCGATAACCCTAACGTTACTTCTTCTCTGTTTATTTTTACTTAAATTTAGAAAGATATGCTTCATTTCTACCCTCAATCTTATCGCTACATTTATTTGCTATTTAAAATTGAAATAAAAAAGACAAATCACAAATAAGTTTCTATATTAGCTCACTTATGAGCAAAATATATTATAACAATCTTTACTAATTTTATAACAATACATAAACTATACTCCCTCCGTCCCATATTAGATGGGCACTTCCAACTTTACACGGTGATTAAGAAATCATTAATACATTGGAAGACTTCACCATTTTGCCCTTTGTTTATATCAATGCACATTGAAATGAGTTACAAAAAATACACATACAATATAGGAATGGTCATATTAATTGTAGGGGTAAAATGGAAAAGAATTAATTAATTCTATCCTAATTTAATAAGTGCTCAAATAATATGAAAAAATATTTTTAGTAAGATTCTCATCTAATATGAGACGGAGAGAGTAACAATATAATTTTATTAATGTTGGGCCCGGGCAGCGCCCGGGCATTCTTTACTAGTATATATATAAAAGGAGAGGTCAATCATAATAATTAACAAGGACTTTTGGCTACAAAGGTCTATTTCCACCTTATCTTTTCATTACATCAATTTGTCAAGTTTAATGTTTGAAAGATAGATGTGTATGGAGATTTCATGTTTAAATTATTAGATTTTGTGAGATTATTGGTCCTTAGAGAATGACATTGTTAATATATATAGGGAAAAGGCTCAAAAATGTCCTTAATCTATTAGAAATGGTTCAAAAATGTCATCCTTACATCTAGTGATTTAGAAATGCCCTTAACGTTTTCTTTAGGTTCAAAAATGTCCTCCTTCCATCTAGTGGTTTAGAAATGCCTTTAATGTTTTTCTTTAGGTTCAAAAATGTCCTTTTGTTAACAGAAATATGACATGGAATTTTACTAAACACATGGCCAATTTTCATTGGTCCACAATTCTTTTATCAAATAAAAAGACCCACCCAACCCAAACGTAAACCCGTTTTCTGGCAAAAAAAAATAATATTAAAACCAGAGATTGTAGCTTGCCTTTTTGCTGAAACTGTGCATTAGTTTTTACAAAAATTGCAACTAGTGCTTGAGGAAATGCTAAAGCTACTGTTCCCTTCCAATTCCTGGAGGGATAGCACTCAAGACATTGTTTAATTGATTTTCTTTACCGAAGATAGCAACCAATACACCATTATGATTTATGCCCATCAAAAACCTATTCAAGAGAAACCAATATTCATACAAAAAAAAACTGATAATGTAGCTATACCACAGGCAATTAACAGGTCCATTAATGTAGCTCGACATTATCATCCCTCAATTAACAGGTCCATTCTGTGAATTGGTAAAATTTATCCTCTCGTGCCACGCAGGCATTCAAGTCAATTTTAAACCTTACACAAACCAAGTATATTCACATATATAATTAATATATATATATATATATATAGTTTCAAGATTACACAAAGATAATGAAAAAGTACTGGCCTAGTTCCTATTGCCTACATGTAGAATTAGTACATGTAATTCAATATTACGCTTCACTCTTCTTATAAGCATATTGTTTTCTTCCACATCTATTTTTTTGCTTGTACCTTTCCTTGACCTGTCTTATCAAGTACATATAATTTCTGTTTTCAAATTTGCTTAGCATTAAAAAATAGATCCTCTTGGCCTTTTCCGGCGTCAAATACCTTGCTAGAGCATAATATTTCCTTTACACTTTTCCAGCAACAAAGTCTTCAACTTCAATTATTTTTAATTTTACAACATAATTTGTATTTATAGATTTTATAAGTAAATATATTATACCAATTTTTCTAATTTCAGAAGTAGAACTTGTGCAGAGCAACTTGATTAGAAGGATGAACTGAAGCTCAAGTACTCAAGCAACATTCTAACCACCGTAACCACCTCCACATGGGTCCTTTGGAAGGCTACTATGTCATTGAAAGAATTGTAGCTTGAATCTCCTACACCACATTATAACCACCGTAAGCAAAATCCACATCTCTCAATGTGAAAAAGTCAAAAATGACTCCCAAATTGATTTTAGCGGAGTAGCTATAGTCCACATCTAGCTCCACGCTTAGTTGAATCCCCTCAGCCAATTGCAGAGTAACTACATTAATTGTCACATATACAATAGTCAGAAAGACTCGACTTAAATATTAATGGGCAGTAAGGAAAATAAATAGTAGTACTAATAATTTTGGATACCTTAAGGACATGAGAGAATCTAAGTTGGAAAAATGAGAGAGCACAAAATAGTTAGAGGCAAAGATCATGATAAGTGTTTAAGTTTCATATTTGTGCAATCTTGTATGCACACTAAATAATGGACCTTCTTGAGTGATTTTACCCGGTCGTCAAGTAAACAATGTCAACGCCAACTTCCACAATTACCTGTTGGGGCACCACCATATCCCAAGCTTTTTCCAAAAGCATACTGCCCAACTCATGATATATATAGAAGCGTTTTACTGGGGCCATTTTGTGCATCTCAATCATTTGACATAAAGTGTACAAAGTTATAATCCAAGATATTCACCAGCACCGTTACAGCACGCCAGGTCCCTAAAATTGATTTACATCCAAAATAAATGATTTTTTCATAACAGAAGCCCCAAGTTACACTCTATTTTCTATGGACATATAAATCTCTATAAACTAACACGCAATGGCGGAACCAAAATTTCAACAAAGGAGTGTCAAAATATAAAGAAGTTAAATTGTGTAGAAGTCGAGGAGTGTCAAATATGTAATATCTATACATAAAAAATATATTTTTATCTAGCGCAATTATAATTTTCCGACGAAGGGGTGTCGGTCGACACCCCTCAATTGTATGTGGCTCCGCCACTGCTAACACGTACCATCCAAGGTGAGACATAGAATAAGGAAGATTGAGGACACTGGTTCCAACCATAGCTGTAATAATGTAAAATGTCGAACACCACCATTTTGCATTCCTAGAAGAAGTTACGGTAAGCCACTCGTGAATTGTCTTTTGTTCTGCAGATCTGCCTCATTTTCCAAAAGTGAATTGAACAAATAAAATTAACATATGACATAAGAAATTGTCTAAAAAATTGATGAAAGTGATTGAGAGCCTAGCAAGCCTCCTACATAATAGGCCAAGCATTTTTTTTTATTTATAAATTGTCATATTGAAATATCTCCTCTCTTCCTCTTGTAGTTCTTGTTAAATTAGGTCTTAGGCTTAACTCACACTCCAAAAGCTGGCTCAAAGGGAGGAGGATTGTCCAAGCCTTATAAGGAGTCCACCCATCTCATTAACCACCGATGTGGGACTTTTGTCATTCTTTAACACCCCACCTCACCCCCAGTGCTTAGCATCTGGTGTCGTGGGCAATTTTGATTTTGGGGGCCCCAACATCGGGTGAGACGGGTCCTGATACCATGTTAAATTAGGTCTTAGGCCTACATCGGGTGAGATGGGTGAGACGGGCCTATTAGAATTGTTGTTGTTTACATTATTACATTGAGACCCTATTTATAGACCCTAGAATACAATCTTTTACCAAGTAGGGTACTATTTAGTATTTCTATTTCTATTACTATTCCTATTCTAATAGAATTGTATAAACCTATTCTTGTTCTAATAGGATTGTATAAACCTATTCCTATTCTAATAGGATTGTATAAACCTATTCATATTCTAACACTCCCCCTCAAGCTAGTGCATACAATTCATGTACCTAGCTTGTTACAAATGTAATTAATACGAGGGCCGATGAGGGGCTTGGTGAGATATCTGCAAGTTGATCACTCGACTTCACAAAATTGACAATCAATCTCAATGTGCTTGGTCTTCTCATGAAATACTGACATGGAGTGATAAAATTACAGTGTTAGAACTTCCCAAACCAAGCTTGCAAAGACTGTTTCAGACCATAGAGTGTCTTACGTAATCAACATACAAGGCTACTAAACTCCCCCTGAGCAACAAAATTAGGTGGTTGCTCCATATAGACTTCTTCACAATGCAGTGGTTGTTGTAAGTGCTCAAAATCTAGTATAAAGTATGTGGATGCATGTTGGAATCAATAGACGAGTCGATATTAAACAAGTCACCAAAAAACTGACCGGAACATGCTTATATGCTAGAGTATTAGATTTGATGGCTAAAAGTGGTCACAATCTAAGAAATAAAATTATATGAATAGGGTCGGAATGATGTCACGACCCAACTAGAAAAAGAAATTATATAGGATAGATCGAATTGATGGAACGACTCCATTGAAAAAGAGAAATAATATGGGTAGGGTCGGAATGATGGCACGACCCTGCTGAAAAAGAAAAACTATACGGGTAGGTTGGAATGATGGCACAACCCTACGCAAATCAAATTTGAGGAGTCACCGGAAAGACGAATGGAACTATGCAAATCAAATTTGAGAAGTCACTAAAAAGAAACATGATGCTATGCAACTCAGTTATGAGAAAATAGTTCGGAAAAATCCACGGTACTACACAAATTAAATATGAAAAGTAGTCCGGAGAGATGCACGGTGCTACACAAATAAGATATGCAAAATAAAGGTAGTCACCATAAGGATGGCATGGTGCTACACAAATTAAATATGAAAAAGTAATCACCAGAATGATGGCACGGTGCTACACAAATTAAATATGAAAAAATAGTCACATGAAAAATACACGGTGACCCAACTTTTGCTAACATAATCATTGGCCGAACGGGCAGCATATATGGATAATAGCCACCCGTCGGCAGCGGAAGCTCTTTGATTTTCTACCAAGATCGTAAAAGCTCTGATACCATGTTAAATTAAGTCTTAGGCCTAACTCACACCCCAAAAGCTAGCTCAAAGGGAGGAGGATTGCCCAAGCCTTATAAGGAGTCCATCCATCTCATTAACCACTGATGTGGGACTTTTGTCATTCTTTAACAGTTCTATTGAATAGTACTTGGCAGACACTCAAAATTTCCTATGTGGTCACTTCTGGCTCCTTCAATTACCTTGTTAATCACTCTCAACGTATCTATGTCACTATACATATTCTTTTTTTAGAGCTTGAAACTTTGATTATATGCTCATTCTCCTTCTTTACAATCAAGCAGAGACATCACTGCAATAGAGAGAAATGCATACAATCTTAACATAGTCTCCTTTGTAGTTGCACATTCACCTGAGAATTCCAAAAGTCCTAAATTAATTAGTGGCAGACCTAATTTTTCTATTTGCCGAGTGCTGGGTACACAGGTGCCTCCATGAGTAAACATGAATATCAAATATGACACTGTAAAGCTATAAACATGTGAAATGAGATGATGATATAGTAATTAACATAATGTAAGGTTTAAATAATAGTAGACGCCAATGCAATAAGGTCTTTTGCTTTCAATTTCTTTATCACAAACTTTTTATCAATGAAATCACAATTAGCTTAAAACTGTCAATCAAAACTTAGTCCAGCCATCACCAAATTAGGTAAAAATATATAAGTTGGTCATTCTTCCAACTATAATTTCAGATATATGCTTATATATCTATCACACAAATACACAGCTAAATTCTCAAAAGGAACTTCTTTGGATAAAATCACTACTAAAGTTACTATTTTCCCTTGAAATTCGTCACTGAAAAATGTACAGATTGATTGAATCGGTGAGAGAAAAAAATAGTAGTGTTTTCACACGAAAAAATTTAGAAAGTTACTCGGTATTTTAATGAGGATATGTTTTTCACCATGCGTTTCCTGTGGAGCTCAATGAAAATGGGGTGGAAAAATCATGTTTTACAATATAAATTTCTAGTTAATTCACGGTGGAATTTCAAGAATTCATCGGTGACTATGAATGATGTACTCTTCATAAAATCTCTAAAATTAGAACAAATCGACTTACCAACCAACTTCATTGTAAGATCACAAGTAAGTTAAAAGGGCGGCTAAAAAATTTGACAGGACATAAACCTTTGAAAACTTTTTTCACAACTTTCTCTATTCATTGTATTCTTCTTAATTCCATCGACAGCAAAATATTGGACAAGTACATGCATGTGCAAAATAACTAACAAAGAGCCAAAGGCATAATTTTTTTTACAGTAGCCTTCAAATTAATTTTATTTCCTATTAGGTCCAGCATGAAGAAGGAGAAGGGAAAATATTCCACAAAACAAAATCTATTACAATTCTCTTAGATCTCACATTTGAATAATACCGTCTAAGATAAGATATCGAAAGAGGCAGACCAAATCCAAAACCAGAAAGCTTACCTTGTTGGTCATACTCCAGAGCAAAGCACGAACGATCACTAAAAATCCAAAAATAATATACAAATTATTCTAAAAACAAAAGAAAAGTAAGATGCAAAATTGAAATCTAAAAGTGATGAAGAAAAGAAACAAAGAGAAATGGAAAGAATCACTGAGGGAAACAGAGGGAAATATGCCAAAGAAAACACGTGTAACATTTAAAAAGAAAAATAAAGAGCTGCATATTGAGAGCAATACACGTGTTAAGCAGATTGTCAATTTATAGTACAAGACATGTTAGTTTTTGTACAACTATCAATTGCAGTGTTTGTTCACTGCTTGTTGGCTTATATAAAAGATAAAAGAAGATAAAAGACTAGACAGGCTAAGCACGGGCCCAACATGTTATTCACCTAAAACAGAAAAACTTGCATGAAAATCATCTTCCAAGACTTTGATAAATAGAGATACATTTCTGGTTTCGCTTCATCATTCCACCATGAAGACTCGCAAGCATGTTAATATAAACAACCGTTGAAGTTCTTACATGATTACGATTATAATTGCTTGCTACATTTAATAATCAATCAATAAATAAAACAGAAAGATGCAAGGAACATTTAATTGCCAATCTACCAGCATATATAATAATTTATGGTTTATGTCTGAAATCTTTGATGTGAACTCTTGAAGATATGGTCTTTGCACTGACATTGATATAGTAAAACCTGAGAAACATTTATTTCACTTGTAAGAAGCAGTCCGCCAAACCAACAAAATCATGAAGATAAAAAAAAATGGAGAGCATGGCAATGATAGGAGTTCCTAATTTTCTATCAACTTCAAGCCAGAGGAATTTCTTCATGTACAACACACCAACAACTCAATATTTAGCATTTATAGCCAGCATCCAATTTAATTTTTACACTAAATAGCTTCACATATTAAAAAATTTACAAGATAATGAATCCAATTATAAGAATAGCAAGGTTCATAAACATAAAAAAAAATCAATTAAAAATATAAGAACATTGAGAAAAGTATCGTCAATTATAGCTTACTAAACTATTCTTTGTTTTTATTACTTTCCACAATTATAAGAAGCCGTTCATTATTTTTTGACATGTATTCTGCACATTAAACTGAATTTTCTTACTCATGAATGATATCGGTAATAACTTCTCAGTCCAAAGGAAAACGAAAGATAAGAGTACTTTAGTTTTCATCAATGAGAACTTCCGGGAAACACAAACAAAATAATAAAGAGTAGAGCTTCAACTTATGGGATAGCTAGATTAAAAAAACAGTACCTGAAAATAATGAGTGTCATTTCTAAATTTCTCAAGGGCCTTTCTATAATCTAAAGAGAAGAAACATTTCAAAGATTCTAATCCAATTTCTCATAGCTTTTTGTCTCTATGCAAAAAGCAAGTATCAAAAAATTCATATGCAAAAGCAAATGCCAAAAAACATAAATGGGAATCTAAAGGATCTGTGAACCGATGACCATTACTTTATAATTCTCCTCTGCAGTGGAGCGGTTTTTTTGTGCTTCTGACCTGTGTTGTCAAAGGCGCACTTAAGTGCTGATGCGAGGCGCAAAACATGTTGAGTGCTCCGCCTCACTTAATGGGCGCTTCAATGTCATCATAAAGGCTCTGAGGCTAGTTTTCCTTTCCAATGAGTGTATTCCTGATGAGGCAACTCTAAACAATTGATATTTCACTTGATAAATATTTTTTTTTCAATTTCTTTGTTCATGTATTTGTTATTCATGCTAAAGTTATTAGTCTTGAACTACACCATACATATTTGTGATTTTTCTCTGCTTGAAACCTTTTTTCCTATAACATTCATGAGTATGCAGGGCTCAAATTATGAATTGGTTTTGATTGGTGTGTATCAATGTACATAAATTTTACCTGGAAACAGATCTGCATTGGTTGAGTTTTCCTAATATTTTTTGTGGCATTTCCAATATGGTGCTGATAATGAAGTCTTATTTCATACCATTGACCTACCCTAATTTGTACATCATTCTGAATTGTCATGTCTCATGGTTGTAGATAATTTTGTGTTTTTTCAGGACTTGTTGTTCCAGATGTTCCTGTAGAGGAAACTGAAATGTTGAGAAAGGAAGCTGCTAGGCATAATATTGAATTGGTTAGTTTTTGTGCCAAATATCTATTTTAATTTTCAACTCAACTAAGATTCCCCTTTGGTTTTGGCTCTCCGTTTTCTTTATTAATCTGTTTAAAGAAGCAAATCATTTACCTCAAATATGCAGTAAGTTTCATCCTGCTATATCTCCTTCATGATAAGGTAGCAATTTGCTTACTCTGTAATCCACTCTGAGACATGAGCAAGTGCTGGTCTGTGATTTGATTATGCACGTTTGATGCAGAGGAAACTATTCATCCATTGAACTTAGGCTCAATCTTCAATGATTTCACTGTCGATCTGCAAAATAAGATTCACCAACATGATTTCATCCGGTGGTTGAAAAGTGACATGTGATGAGATTCCATCAGTTGGTGCTTGGTTGAAAGATACCAAGTAAAATCCTAAAAAAAATTAAATAAAAAAAATTAGAAAAAGCTCAAATCCATATGCTGAAATTTTTTCCAAATAATCATAGTTAGGGTAAAAAATTGGAACTTTGAACTTATAAAACAGCAGATACATTTCAGTTAAAGAAGGAAGAAATGATATTAATGCAGTGTATGTAATTTAGAAATTTCTGGGAGCTCTTGAAACATTGTTTTGAAAAAAATAGTTCAGCTACACTCAGTAATCAAAGTGTAGAAACCTTCAGCATTAGAGATAAGTGATAATTCAATTCAACTCTCAGTAGATTTCACACACAAAGAACTGTAATAATCTTTGCAACTCCTTTTCTTAGACTGGCTTTAAAATAAATTTCAAATCTACCTCAACAATCAAAGACAACTCCAGTTCTTAAATCAGAAAATAACTGAAATATGATCAACTTTTCAAAAATCCAACTAAAGAACAATAGCTCAAAGGAAGTTCCAAGTATCTGCAATACAAAGTCTTTTTAAACTTCACCACAAGCTCTTCAAATTAGTGCCAAGCTCAAAAAGGAACACAATCATGTATCCATGCAAAAGTACTTGCCTTACACCAAAGTTACTTTCAACTAAGATAATTTTCGCTGCTTACATATTCAGAGATTGAGTCATTTTCGCATTCGAATCCTATAGAAATGACCAAAATAGAATAGGATTTTATATATATAAGTTTCTTAAAGACATCCTCAAATATTAAGTACCAACTGAAACTTTAAAGTCATTTTTAAAGCACTATTACAAGAACTGATTGCACACTTGTCCATGAAAATTCATATACATCAGCTTTCGATTAATAGTACAATAGTTCAACACGTTGTCTTTCAGTTGGCTATATCATAATGCATTACATATATTTTTTCGTTTATCTTACAAGTCAAACCGAGCATACAGACCAAAATATACAAATGTAATAAATGTTCATATAAAATCCTGAAGACATTTTAGATGCATCAATGCTTAATGTTACTATTTTAGTCTAGAAAGTGAATGCAAGATGGAAAAGGAAAAGAGAACTGGCAATCAAATATCAGGCTATTTTAACAGCCACTTAAAAGCTTTACATGAGGTAAAAGGAAAATCAATTTCTAAACAATGAGAGACCTAAAATTAGCTATAATGCTGCCAATTTTGAGGAAACAAAAATATAATTATTGAGAATTCACCCTTCTTCTTAGGTTTCAATCCTTCATTTTCCGATCATAATCAATGCATTCAACTTCACAAGTGTTTTGTTGCTCATATTTGCAATAAATCAAATACTCAATATGCATTACATAATTATCATCAGAATTACAAAAAAAAAAAAAGCTATACCAATTTGTAAGATCAATATTGAAAGAAGATATGTGAGTCCCCAAATAAATTGGAGATAACAATCAGTAGGAAAAAAATACATAACTTTAGTAGAGGAACGCATAATTGAAGTGACCCGCCTCAAACAGAGGGATAAACATACACCTCAAAAATTAAGTCCCACAAAAGGGTATCTATCGATCGAGGAAAAAGAAAAATGAAGAATAGTTGTTATGGTAGCAGAGTGTAACTCTGGAAGGTAAGTCCCACAAAAGGGGTTCTATCACAAGAGATTCTACATTCAAAAATTACAACAAATGCTTTGTACCAGAAATATCCGCAACACACATAATTTGATCATAAACAGAGCCGGATATGAGCAAGTATAATGCTATGCTAAGGGGAAAGTGAAATAGCACTTGCAATCAAATTAGAGAAGATGAAGCATACTTGAGGAGTGTAATTTATTTTTCTGTGTTGAGATCGTAGACCAGGAAACTATGAACTTACCATGTGAAAACGAAGAAATTCAGTATATTTTTGTGAATACGAAGTTCCTATACTCGATTCCTCCATCTCATGTTTGCAATTCTATGATTTCTCCTTGAAGTAAATACAAAGGCCTGCAATAAGAGATAAATAAATTGAAAAAACACTCACATCAAGAACAAACGACAGGAACACTAAATTTCAATAACCAATTAATTTTAAAAATAATAATAATAGAAAATCGTTAAATAGCGAAAACAGACAGGAGGAGCAAAAGAACCAAAAGCAATAACATCCAATTAACTCTAAATCCAGGGCATGCAACACTACTACAACTCAAAGGCTAAATAGATCTGCAAAATTGAATGCAAAATCAACCCATTCGAATAAAAAATCGACAAAATAAAACCTAAATTCAAAACAAAAAATCAGAGATACCGATGGCTGTTTATATACCACTGAAATTCTCAGGACAGAACTTATGATAACAGTGGGAAAAACCTAAACATGAATGATTGGAAGAAGGTGAAAAAAAGCTAGTTAAAAAGTAGAAAATGGAAGGAAATAAAAGAGAAAAATAAAGAGGGAATAGATGCAGTGGGTATGGATAATGTGGCTAAAGTTTCACCTGGCATTGCGAGGCTTCCATGAAGATGAAGATAAACAATAAGCTCATTGCTCACCTTTTTTTTCCTGAAGAGATAGGAAAAAGAAGATGAACAGATTCACTACGTAGTTTGCTAAAAATCGTACACGTATTAACAGATGGGCCCAATATGAAGTACCATTGATAAAACTTTTGGTACAATAAATGATATCACCGTTCGTCCCAGCCCTTGTTGGCTTATAATATAGGGTAATAAAGAGTAATATATATATATACTAGGGATGGGAGGCCCGTGGCAAGCACGGGCCCAATAGTCAAAATATCATGTCTGTAATAGTATTGTAATATTAATGAATGAAGGGTCAAGCTGTTTGCAGAACATAGATAATAGCATATATTATATTAACATTAGAAATATTCTGAATATGTACAATAGACATTAGTATGATGTCGAGTTGAACGATTCGCACATACTAAGTAATGGAATATAAGCAAAATAATATACTACATGCTGCAGCATCATATTTAGAGAACACTGCAGTTTGCCTGGCCATAGGTAATCTTTGTCACGAAAGAAAGTAGAGCATAAGGAGAGTCATTCATTAGATTGTCCCTATCATAAGCAAAAGCGACAAAATGGTGTGAGGGAGTTCCTGCAATTAGACATTTTAAAGTATGTGAGAAAGTGGAAATATGGGAAGAGATAATTGAATATTGTGCTGAAATTGAAAGAAATGCATGGAATCAGCATCAGAGCGATAGATTTGCTGTTTAATCTGTTTGAGGTTAGGCAGTAGACAGAAACCTTGTTCACATTTTTTGGTGTTGATAAGTCTGTATTATAGTGTATGACATCATACGAAAGTAGAATAAGAAAAATGTAGACGAATGTATGTGTGCAAGTTATGGAGGAAAACATGTAAGTAGGCTTATATTGGAGGGTGAAGTTATAAACATTAACGAATCAGAAAAAGGAGGCTACAATTTTATGCAATCACAAACACACAGGAGACATAAGGATTTCTGTCAGTGGGCCCAGGTTTTGTAGTTGTTGATAGAGTTACTTTGTTATTTTTTATTTCATCAAAGATGTGCCAATTTACGATATGATTTTACGTACCTTCACGAAAATTAAGATTATAGATTTTTCAAAAGGAGGCATCCAAACTGCAGTAGAGATTAGAATTTCACTACAAAGAGGAACCTCCACAATCCTTCCTGTCATCCTCCTTTTTGAAGGAACAAAGAGGAATCGCTGAAGCAAGAAGCACAAAACATTTACTTGAATGATGATACTTTAGGAAAAATCAAAAGATTGTTTAACCATTATTCTAAACTACAGTAGAACTTGGAAGATGTAACATTGCGATCAAAGAACACAATTTGAAAGTCTAAGATAAATTAGTTTTAAAATCTCACACATTTAAAGTAGGAAAAGATTTTACGACAAGAAGATCTGAAAACTAATAGATACTTTTACATGAGCATAAATGCAACACAATGAAAATTAACGGTAAAAGGATAGAAAGCATATCACTGATTTATTAACATTTCTATTAAGTAAAAGATTTTTTAATCATTTGTTTTGTTAACAGAACAATTGACCAGATAATATCTGATAAAGGACAAATATAAAATTCAATAGAACAAAAAGGGAAAAATAATGTTATTGCAAAAATATAATAGTAGCTCAAACCGTTAGCAAATAAAAATATATGACTCGTTTTGAAGTAACAGTAGCAGCAAAGGATCCCCTTTTCCATCTTCTTTCTATTAGTTTAGCTTGAATCAACAAAGCTCCACCCCATAACACCTAGCCATGTGTTTCTCGCATCTATATATCTGCAGTATCATCAAGTCACATATTTCACAGTAAGCCCATCAATAAATCTATAATTGAGACACCATACATGAAGTAAGTTAAATATAATTTGGGAATTGATATATTATACTCACTTGGACATGAACAAAGAGTTTCATCAAAAGGTACACAAGAACATAAACCCAGAAAACTCAACTTGTGTGTATCCACCATCACATGAACTTTGAATTCATGTGAAGATCCATTATATATTTGCTTCACAGATTTCATGCGAAGCATCTTCAATAAGTAAATACTTAGAGACCAAAAAATACATGTCTCATTCATCAATACATATAAAAAAAACTTCATTTAAAAAAAAAAAAAAAGGCTCAAATCCTTATAGATAAAGATGTCTAAACCACTAACCTCTAAGAAATATAGAATCGAAGGCACTATTTTCATAGAAATTCAAAATTTAACCACGACATATAAAGACAATCAATCTTTTTATAATACCAAAAATAGATGATTTTTGGATGGTGACTCGGAGACCCTTCAAGTCCTTTGTAGTTTTCCTTGCAATGTCTTCACTGATTTTGGAGCGAGAGAACTTGCTGCGTTGACTTCACCTCGAGTGATCGAACGAAAAACTCAATGACTCGATAGGGATTGAACTTTGATGGTGTTCTAGCACAATTATGAAACAGAGAAGAGCAGAGCTATTTTTGTGCATGTGTATCACTACTATATGCTTTTCGAAATTGTCACATCATTTTTCAGATTGCCACTTTTGAAATCTTTTCTCTAGCTAAAGTATCAGTCGTAATCTACCCCTCTTACAGTCCGTCTAAGAAGCAA